ATAAAATTTTATAAAAAATTATATTATGTTTGCCAATATGTAACTGGTGCTCTGTACACGCTTATTTCTAATTTTTAGAAAATTAAAGAACGGCTTCAAAAACGCAAATATGGCTCATAACAGAAGATTTCAATTTTCAGAAATTTTATTCGAAAATGTGAGATCTTCGGAAAGATTAACTTAGGTATAATCTAAATCTGTTAGTAACTTAGGTATAGTCTATAGATACTATAGAAATTGTAAAACTAATGGCACCACTGATAACAAATACAGATATAATTAAATATATTAAATAATTTTTTAATTAACTGAACATAATATCCGCCCAAGAGCAAATATATTGAATTCATATAGGATTAGATAATTATCCTACTTATTTAATAATTATTTAACTATATTCCAATTATTTAATAAATTAATAGAGCACATTAAATTCCAATAAAATAAAGAGAATGATTTCCGCAAACTTCTTCCAATTGAATCATGAAAAAATTTATTATTTAACGTGTCTCTATAATAAGTGATTCAATAACAATTTTTATTTCGATTAATTTTAACTTAAATTAATTATACATTTACTAATATTTGAGCCTGGTTTGAAATTTCTTAAATGGTATGTTAATTAATTGAATTATGCAAGAAGGGCGGGCACGAGATATTAATTTCATAAATTCTTTAAAAAATTAAGAGAGTGTCTTATATACGTAGAAATTATGATTAATTATGGTTATTAACGTGTCCATAATATGAAAAATTTTTATTTATTGAAATATTATCTATTATACCCATATAAGTAATATTATTATAATATTAAAGGTTATTAGAGCGTATACATTGCCTAAATTTAAAAAAAAAGGCATGTGTAAATAAAATCATGGTATGAGCAATTAAAACATTTTTTTTGCAAAATTGCAATTGAAAGAAATTTATAATATTTTCGAATTCTGGTTTTCTATTGTTTAATTTACAAAAAAATTTTTAATTTAGGCAGTTAATTTATAATTTTGTGACATAAGACTTTTAATCCAAATTGAAGGAAAAACTTAAATAATATTTTTTTAACAGAATACTTTTCTGACTCTTAAAAAATATATTGCATTTTGGAGACACTCTTTTTATTTGATTTTCAATAATGAAAAAATGGAATAAGAAACTATAAATTGAATACTATCTTTATATTTAAATTTACTTACGGAAAATTGCAACCTGTAACACACTACAGCTGCAGTGTTATAAAAAGAATTACCTATGTTGAATAAAAAGAAGGGAATTCAAGTTGTCCAAAATTGGTTATTTTTGCATAATTTGTAAGAATAATTTTTCATAAAAGGTAATGAACTTTAAGTGTAACACTGTTATACATATATACACATAATAATTCTTCATATTTATTTACCTATAGCATTAAAATACATACATGAACACATAACATTTTTTTGTCAAACAAAAAAATATAAAATAAAATAAAAATGAAAAATAATGCAATAATGAATTGAATTTTTTCGCGAATAATATTGCAAAACTTTATTCTCTTCTACTTGACAGTATAACAATGTTTAGTTTACTTGTAGCTGATTCTATCTAATTTTGAAAGTGTGTACAGTGAATTAAATATGTGTGCAACAACGACTTTATCACAAATATAAAAAATTTTTTGGGGTATCATTTTGTTTGGTTTCTGTGAATTTAACTTCGTCTAATTTTGGAAATTATTTTTGGAGTGCAATATAAGTAAATCAACTGTTAAATTATATAATGCTTTTACATTCATATATCGTATATTAAAATCGATCGTACATATATCGTATATTAAAATGCAAATCCGAAAAAGTAAATTTGTATTACATTAAATTTCTGTTTCAATACACACCAAAACTCTGTATTACAAATAAAAACCTGTGGGATTTTGGACGTTCGTTATGTGAAGATTTTACTATATTCAATTTTTAGTTACCATAGTAATATAAGCATCATTTTAAGAGTAACATACTTATACTAATTATAATACATGTATACAATACGTGTATTATATAAATATTGTAAATTTCAAGACTATGTAAAAATTTAAAAAAATGGTTGTTATAACTTGCAATATTCGCTTTTATTATTTCAAAAACAACTAATTTTAATATACATACAAACATAAATACATAATGTAAACGTAGTACTTCAAATATACAAAATGATATTAAGAATCTTACATTTTTTGCAATAATTTTAAAATTACATATTATAAGTAATAAAAAAATGTAATAAGTTTTACCTTGTACATGGACTGGATGTTGATAATTAGAAAATTGCTTTAGAATTAACTTAAAATTTATCAATTTAACTATTTTTGGTTGCTGCTAACAATTATTTTCTATATATTTCAATAAATTAATGGTTAAAGAACAATTTGTTGTTAAATTTCATATTATAATGTTGCATAATATTATCGAGATTTTAATTATTACTTGTCGTCTGTCAATCACAAAAATTCATTGGTTTTTTAAATTAAAACAAGCAAAATAAGTTTGGTAAAATGATGCAGTAATTTTTGTTTTGCCTGTGTACTTAATTTTAGTATAAGTACTGAGATAATCTTATAATGAAATGCCGAATTTTATTGTTGGCCCCAATAATTTGTTTTTTGATTGTAGCTTTACATATTCCGAATTAAAATAATTTTTTGCTTGTATATTGGGAGTAACCATAAGATATTATGGCTTGTATTATCTACACATCCTTACTACCAAACGGTGAAGTTTTCGTAAATTTTTCGATTCATGGTATGTCGTTTCGAAACTTAAAGTTTAGCGTGAATTAAAAATTTACAAAAACAATAGTTTATGTTAAAAATTTTCACACAATTTAAAATAGTTTAAATCATAATGTTCATTTTCCATATAAGTATTTTATTTCATTTTCGATAATCGTAAAAAAATTTGTTAATTTTTATATAATTGTAAATATTTTTATGTATCTTTAAACAGAAAAATTATTAAGCGCATCGGTGTGCATCAGGTTTTAAAGTAAAATTATTTCTTATCGTGTCGTTTATTTAAGATTTAAATAACCGATTTTCAACAAAAACACACTTAACATGATTGCTGCTAATTAAATTTAATAATGTGTATGAAAATTTTAATGTTATAATTATTTTTATTAATGCAACCTGCATAAAATGACTATAAAAAATTAAAATAATTAGAGATTTAAAATTTAAAATTGATTATTTTATTAAAAAGAAAAAAATTTAATAATTATGGTTTTGTCTAGCACCATTTGCCATCTTACTTAACACGTAATTAATTTTACGATACATCTGAATGATAATATGTCGAATTTTATTGCTTATTTTGTAAAGGCTTGTGGATACGAAGGTATACTCTAATTAATTACTTATTTTATATTTAAGGTAATTAAGTATAGAAAAAAGTAATTAGATAATTTCTATTTCGTGCCAGATTTTTCATTGATTTGGACCATTATTGGAATTATCAATGTTAAAGTTGTGGCATTTTTATATTTGATATTCATAAAAATTTTAAATATATATACGGTATGTTCTGTAAATTTGAACCATATACATAATATATAGATTTCTGCCAAGGTTTTAAGGAGTATGAAGTCTTATTATACATTATCTTTTATATAATAAAGAAAGTATAGGGTTACATTCTGGAATTCTGGAATTTTAGATTATATTTTATTTTGCATATTCAATAATCATTACATAGTCGCTCAATCATACATTATCCAGTCGTACAAGATCAGTTACGGTGAATGTGGGTAGTAGAAAGGGTTTAATTATAGAATTAGGCTATAATTTGACTGTTATTTGAATGCAGATCATCGTTATATGTACCCGAATTATCAACCATAAAACTTATTTCAAAAAAAAAAAATCATTTGAATAAATTTATTTATGTAATACCCCTTGTACATTTACATATACAAATATTATTTACCCGGAACTCTTTGCTTTTAAATGTTTAATGAAACTTAAAAATTTTTAATCTTTATTTTTTTTTAATGATTTATTTAATATCAAAATTTAATTGTTCCATTTTAATGCACACCTATAGATAATCTTTTTAATAACTTTGTACATTTTAAATCCAAAATTTAAAAATAACTTCAAAATATTCTATTAAAAAAAAATTTTAGTTTTAGTTACGTATAGTCAAAACATTAAACAGTATTGACGAAAATATTATTCGGACATAAAATATTCTGCATTTTTTGTTAAAAAAATGATCGAGATTATAAGGGAAATAAATAGTTTATACCAAAGGTACACGTATTTTTCCGTTCAATGGTTCAATGCTCAAAATTAAATACAGTATCGAAATTTGAAAAAATATTTAATTTTAGATGCTGATTTGAAAATTTTAGAACTAGCTTTATTGGTTTTGCAACTTAAAATTTTAAGAAATGAAATTTTTAAAAAATCAATTGTAATCATTTTATGACTGACACCACAATTCCAGGCCATATGCTATTAATTTTAAAAAATAAACTTATTAATTTCGACCTTGAATCTCTATGATTTCAACTCTTGCTCCAATACCAATTCCTTACGGTTTATTGTTAACAATTTTAACGACTATTGTAGAATAAAACTTGTATGTGTAGGTATGCACGATAAATTTGCAATGTTTATTTATTTTGAAAGGATTTAATTTAAATATGGCGTAATTTACTCAGTTTATATAGTAAATAAATAACCAGTCTAATATAGTATAGTTTATGTAAAATAATAATTAAAATATTTATCTCTTTTTTTTAATCTTAACTATGATAAAATAAAAGATACGTTAAAGCATTTAATAATAATTTGCGGTTTTGAATAAAAGTTAGAAAAAATTTTGATTCATTTCAAATTCATTATAATTTTTTTAATTTATATTTTTAATGTCTATGATTTTATTGAATTATGAAAGTTGTATTTTTATACAGGTATACATACATATAAATCTTATTTTAATATTTTTTTTTTGTTTTTCTATTTACAGCAACCCAGATTATTCTTTATTTGGAAATTTTTGTGATTTTTTATATAGGAAAATGTCTACATCAACACCAACAGGAATTGTAAAACATAATGTTAATGTATGGGAAGGTGGTAAAGATGAAAATTTGTTAACATTAGATAAATTATCAGATGATTGTGAGGATAGAATAGCTAAAGTATTTGCTGGACGTACAATATTTATAACTGGTGGTACAGGATTTTTAGGAAAAGTATTAGTAGAAAAATTATTAAGGTAGGTATAATAAAATTGAAAATCACACGTAATTTTTATAATATTATGTAGCTATTAAATATGATCATAACTTTATATTATCTAGGTTATAAAAATTATGTATACATATATGTATATATATATATATAGGAGTATGACATAATGTGCGATACAAATTTATAGTTAATTTATAAATATTATGCGAACAGTGGGTTTAAATATGAAAATTTTATGATATGAAAACAAAAGGAAATTATGTGCATCTTATATTTTAAAAAAATATCCCATTTTAATTAGTGGTTTTTGTTTTATTAATTGCAAAACGATTTAGTTACAAATGTAACTAGATCGTTAATAGTTCTTCTTTCTAATTAATTTTTCAGGTATTAAATTTAGTTCTTGAAATAAAGTTCGGCGAAAACAGAATAATTTACGAAGACTTATTTTCAAATTCAAAAGTGTTTATCACCATCGCTTTCAAAATTAGGACCAAATTTCATGGAATTTATTGTACGAGTAAACTAATCTAAATTTAACTTAATTTTAGAATATTTACAGATTTACGATTGCGTTAAGTGTTCCATTTCTTATTTATTTCAAAATGTGTTTGAATGCACGTATAGCCTTTGAGTTATTTAGGAAATTTTAAAAAACTAATTAAACACACTGTATATATGTGAAATATAATGTAATGCTTAAAAGTAAAAACTAATTATGTACGAGAAATTACGTGATCATTCACATCATATCGTATATATGCATACATATTAAGTTAAGTAAACCAGTCTAAATTTTCAATCTAGTTTTTCATATGCTTAGTTAAATACTATTTTCTTTTACATAAAATCCAAAAAAAAAAACAAAAAACCAGTATAATAATAAATTTATAATGATTGAACGTTGTAAAGCTGAATTAATTCACCTAACCACACACACATTACAGTTAAACTTTTCTAATTTTTATTAATTTCACTTTGTACAAGATAAAAATATTTATTATTTAATTTTACTTATACATAATATAAACTTACAATTTTATTTTTACATGTGTACACCAAATATACATATATATATATATAATATGTAGATGCTGTCCAGATATAAAAAAGATTTATTTACTGATTAGATCAAAGAAAGGTAAAGATCCACAACAGCGTATTAAAGACACTTTATCAAATGAGGTAAGAAAAATTTTTTTATATTTTTAAAAATAAAAATAAATACACATAAAACAAGTAAAATTTATTTTAATTAACCATAATATAGTTAGTACATGAAGGTCTAATATGATTTTTGATAATTGAGTGAAAGTAATTGTTTTACATTATACTTCAAAAAAAAAAAACCTTAAATTTTAATTATAAATGAAAATAATTCATAGGATATCTCACGATTTTAATTTGTTACCCATTGTTTTTTTTTTTGGGAATTTTTTTCAAATAAAGGTCTTTAATTGGAATTTAACTTTTATAATTAGAGAACTTTGTATTGTAAAATAAAAATTGGAAAACCTATAAAATTAATTTTTAACATTGATTATGAAGAAATAAAAATTTGTGTAAAATTTATAATAAATACAGTTGAGTTCTCACGGTACAGGGTAATTTATTTAATGCCATTGTGCTAATTTACTTAAAATAATGTGAGAAAGAAGTTGTTGTAAAATATTTTCTACAAAACTTTAAAATAATCAATATTTCTTACCTTCGTCATAACTCTACCATTGATATTATTTTAAATTCAGGGTTCATCTTTGCATTATATAGGTGATTATAATTTTTCTGTTTGAGCTTTGATCTTGAATAACACCACGTCCTCATGATATACTCGTATATTCTGACATTACAATTGCCTTAAAATTAGAAGTATATGAGAATTTTATATGTAATTAAATTAAAATAGCATTTAAATTAAAACTAAGATCAAGGCGAAATTTTTGATTAGAATGTTTACAATATTATTTTCATATTGTATAATTAAAATATAGAAGAAATAATATTAATTAAAAACAAAATACGTATCGCACATTCTATATGTTTTCATTCTATCAATATTTTTATCATAATGGAAATTTTCTAGCATTAAATAAGTAAAAATTTATAGAACCCCTGCTCCTCTCCCACTTGCCTTACAGTTAACATATTGGAATATTTACTAACCATTCATATTTTGTTACAGGTTTTTTAAGCTTTAAAATAAATTTACGATTTAATCAAGTTAAATATAATATTTTTTTTTGTTAATTCATGACGACTAACGTCATTAAAAAATTGCGATCTTGTTTACAAATAACCGTTTATCCAGTTTTTAGGTATAATATGAATTTATAGAATCTAATAATATAGTACTGAACACTACGTAAATGTGAATATTGTGAACTTTAAACATATCTCATAATATTTTTGATGAGTAATGGAATTTTAAATGTATACACATGCTTTTAAATAAATTTTAATATTTGGAAAATTTTATGCAGTATTCAATAAACTGGTTTTATTTTCTTACATGTCATTGCGTCAGATTAAGTCTAGTACAAAAACTTAATGTAATATTTGTATAAATTATAAAATTAGGTTAACCAAAGCCAAATCCAGTTTTTGAAAAGTGAATTTGATTATAAATAACGCAATTAATTATTTTATAGCGACAGCTCTTATTATTATGAGGACTAGTTTTGCGTTTTTTTTTTCGCAACTTTCTTTATATGAATGAAAACAAGATTTTTGTGTTTTCTAATGTAGGAAGTTTTTTCTATACCAATGCTGTATTTTGTGCAGTGACGTTAAATAGATTTTTATTATAAAGTATATTGAGCAAAATTTAAAGTAAAAAAAGATTTTAAGAAATTATGAATTCAAAAAACAGTTATTAGAATTGGTAAGAACCATTGTTCCCAATTTCTCTGATAAAGCATTGGAGACTCAGGAAAGGAATAATATAAATTACAATACATATGTATGACTTTTTGAATGTGGTATATGTATATAGTCACAACAGTTATACAATCTATAATTTGCCTATACAATACGCAATATTATTTTATAAATAAAAATTTGTGATGTTAAGTACGTACATATATACTATAATCTTCGTACAGTTGTTACATTTTACTTAAAGCGACTACGCTACTGATAAATAAGATAAGTGATGAAACTAGATATAATGTGGTATAATCGTTAATATATAAAAATGAAAATATATGTAGAATAATAAAAGTTTCAAAGTTTATTAACTTTTTAATGCTAATATAATTTTTGTTTATGCGAAAACTAGATAAATTTAAATATGTGTATAATTATTTCCTGTTTGGAAAAATTTGAATTTTTTTTTATGTGTGATAGGCTGAAATATGTAGATAAACTTTATCCTAGTAGATAAGTCTTTTTTAAATACAAATAAAAATATATATATACTATCAAAAATCGTAGCTAAAATTTATTTCGTTAAACTAGGACAGCTATTCTAAAAAACTGTTATCTAAAACAAAAAATTAAATAATGATATACAATTGTAGTATTCCCAGTAATGTCCATAATTAGAATTTTTCAACAGCTTTTAATATTTTTATCAACAAAAGAAAATTAATTTTAAATTTATCTAAGTTGGAAGTGCACAAACTATATTACATAAATCTTATTACCTATTTGTTAATTAACTGTTATATATTAATATATTAATATTTTAAATTAACGGATTGCGTATAAATTTTAACTTAATTATAGCTTTTTGATATGGTAAAAGAGCAACGTGGTGTGAAAGCTATTGAAGAAACGGTTTTAGCAATTGCAGGTGATGTCCTTGAAAATGAGCTTGGAATCTCTGAAAAAGATCGTAAATTATTAGCAGATGAAGTTTCTATAATTTATCATTGTGCAGCAACTGTGAGGTATTATACTTTATTCTTAAAAGAGATAAAATAAATACAAGTTTTAAAAAAATATTCTTTAATTTAAAACCTTGTAATAACAATTATAACAGATTTGATGAACCATTGAGAAGAGCAGTTTTTCTAAATACAAGAGGTACACAATATGCTTTAAATCTGGCAAAGGAATGTAAAAAACTTGACGTAAGCAAAAATATATATATGTAAAAAAAAATTATTTACCTTACTTTCATAATAAAATCAAATAAAAATATTAGCTATTCATCTATGTTTCAACATCATATTGTCATCTTCATGTTAAAGAACTTTTTGAAATGCCGTATGATCCGCCAGCAGATCCACATAAAGTTATTCAAACATGTGAATGGTTAACAGATAATGAAATAAATGAAATAACTCCACAGTTTGTTGATTTTGAAATAGATAGTTGAAAATTTTGAATAATTTTAAATATTTTGCAGGATTCTTGGAGATTATCCAAATTCTTATGCTTATACAAAAGCATTAGCAGAACATTTAGTTGTAGAAACATTTGATCAGTTACCAACAAGTATTGTACGTCCTTCAATTGTTATACCAATTTATTATGAACCAATATCAGGTTGGACTGATAATATAAATGGTCCAACAGGCCTTTTAATTGGTGCTGGCAAAGGTGTTATACGTACAATGTATTGTAATTCGTCTGGTTACGGAGATTTCTTACCAGTTGATATTGCTGTTAATGGAATGTTGGTTAGCAGTTGGCATAATTTAAAAGAAGGTAAAGTTTTAACACGTGTTGCACATATGACAAGTTCAAGTGAAATAAAAGTATCTTGGGATGAAATTATTAATTTGGGACGTTGGGTTATTGAAAATCGTATACCATTGAATGGTGTTGCATGGTATCCAGGAGGTTCTATGAAATCAAATTATATTTTACATTATATAAGTATGATATTATTCCATTGGATTCCAGCTATTTTTGTTGACTGCTTGCTCTATATTTTGGGATATCCACCTGTGTAAATAAAAATTTATTATAAAACTTATTTGTAAAAACAATAAAATTTTAAAAATAATTCATAATAATTTATCCAATTTTAGATTATGTCGGGTACAAAGAAGAATAACAAAGGGATTTGAAGTATTTGAATATTATGCTAATAGAACATGGAAATTTGACAATGGCGAAGCTGTTAAAATTAGACGTGAAATGAATAAAATTGAAAGACAAAAGTATGTTATTGAAAAATTCGAATTGGATCTGGTTAAATACTTTGAAAATTGTACGCTATGTGCTAGAAGATATATACTGAAGGAGCCTGACGATACTATCCCAGCAGCCCGAAAACACATGAGAATGTGAGTTTGATACAAATCTTGGATTGAGAATAGAGTTTTTAATAGAAGTGCTTATTGTCCTAATTAAGTTTTTATAATCAACTTTTGTTTTATTACAAAATAAGAAGAAACTAACAATTTAGAGGCAAAAAAAAGTCTAATTCAGAATTTTCCCGTCTAAAATAATATAATATTGGAAGAAGCGTTCCAATTTTATATTATTTTAGAAAGGATCAATTGTACGCTTCCCTTAAGATATTTTATATTTGATTGTTGAATTACTGATTTGTATAAAATATAGTTTAGTTTTCAATTTCGTAAGTGATTTTAAAATAATATCCTTATGTGGAAGCTCACAGAAATGAATTACCTAAAATAAAAAATGCTAATTATTTTTTTAAATAATGCTAATATTTATCTGTACATTATATTATACTGAAAGTTTAATATTATTTTTCTTTATATTTTTAGAATGTACGTGATCGATAAATTTTGCAAGATTGCATTTATCATTTTTCTTTTATATATGCTGTATTCAAGAATATTTAGTAGATTCCTTTTCCGCGGTGAACCAGGTTCAATTTTCAAATCAATTGACAAAAATATTGTATAGATTTTAAGTGACTTTTGTATACCAATTTTCAGTATGGTTATAAAAATTAATATAAACATCTTATGTTGAATTATGTTTTTTGTGAATAAAATTTATAAATTAAAGATTTTTCATAAATAATTTTTGGCTTTGAATTTATTTTTTTGTTAGAGTATTAACCTTAATAATACTTACCTACTATGAAATATAAATATCGTATAAATTATTTTACAGCAATTTTTTTATTTGGGATCTTCGAAAGTGTTGCATAATATTGTACAGTTACACACAAAATCAAGTGGTATCCATTACCACAAAAGACTTAAATGAATGTATTCCTTAAAGAAAATCCGGTGTCTTTTGTAGTATAAATAAATACTATATAATATAATATATATAAAATTGAATTTAAAATAATTCATGCAATATTCATAGTAGTCGACTTAGAATACGAAAGACATTTTTTAATTTTAATATTCCAAAAATAAAACACAAGAAGGCGGCACTCTTACTGCATGTAATTCGCAGATAAGATGAATTTTACTACAAAGAAAATAGTGACTTAATAATTTTAATGTTGTTTTTATAAGTGTGTGCTTACATTTTATGCGATTTCGTTCTAGACAACAATACCATGTCCAATTTATATAAATTCTATAATATTTAACCTTTTAATCTTTTCATATTTAAATTTAAAATTAAATAATAATAATTGCTTGAAGAGAGTTGACGAATTGAAACAACAGTACCGTTTCATTTTACCAAGTTTCATTTGTTCACTTCGTTTCACTTTAGTATTCACTATATTCCATTCCACATAACTCAAGCAGTTAAGCTTGCATAAAAATATCAGTCGACTCATTTAAAAACGGCTTATTGGTAGTTTTTATTTTAGTATTGCCATATATGAAAATTCAGTTTTGCACTCAATTTCACTTTTTGAGAAAACATTTTATATCACAATAATTATTATTTTGTGCAGTTAGTAATTTTCGCATATATTCTATTTTATGGAGGTATATGAATTCGAAAAACTATGAAATATTAATATTTAGTACATTTTTTAAAACAATAAAAGCAAATCTGGAACTAAAAAAAATGCTTTAAAAAAATTACATAAACTGCTATATGGTAATACTATTAAAAAACAGCAGAAAATGACAATATTGACAAATGACATTTTGACAAATGAAAATGACAATCAGTATATTTCGGTTTTCAAGGTAGTGAAGTGCAATTTTTTTTTTTATTGTGGTAAAGGAATAAAGTAAATTCATTGAGGAAAAAGTAAAATCTTTTACTTATATGTTTAATATTAATTATTCATGTATGTATTTTTCTCATATTAAATAAACTCAAATAATAATTTAAATATAAGACAAAATGTTGGAAGGAACATTAAGTAAATGGACGAATGTAATGAAAGGTAAGCTATTTTTTTTTATAGATAGGATGATCACACAAAAATAAAATACAACATTATATAGATACTTATGTACATACATACATATTTATATGTGGAAAAGTACAATCTTTTTATTTTTATTTTAAATATTTACTTTTATTATTCTATTATTAGAATGATAAATATTAATAATTTTTATTTCTTCTTCTATTTATTCATATTATTTTTTAGGATGGCAATATCGCTATGTTATTTTGGAAGAAAATGCTGGTTTATTCTCCTATTATACGGTAAGTTCAGATATAAGTATCTATAAAGAACGCAAATTTTTATTGAATGAAAAATGATAATATAAAGTCAAAGATAATAGCTATTTAGTTTAAATATGTTGCAAGAGAATATAAAATAAGTAGATATGATGAATCACAATTTTGTATTAGAATAAATTAATCAAAATAATTTAAACTTAATGCTTAAAGTAGAACAAAGAAAATAACTTTAATTAAAAAGTAAGAAAATTCTTCTAAACACCTTTCTTATCATACGAAGAATTTAAATTTTGTGTAAACATTAATTCTTTTTACTAAATTAATGTAAATTTTTACTATTTTTCAAAGGGTGTAGAAACCTGTAATGATTAGTAATATCGGAAAATGTGTGACCTATTATAAAAAGAAGAGACCTAATTTTAGTAGATCTACCAAATGCTTAATAATTATTATTGCTCGTTACAGATTAATTTATAAAATTTTATATGAATTTTTATAAGAATAGCTATGTTGGCTTATGAATTAAATAATTGTTATATGTATAAACGACAAAATTTTAAAGATGAAAAAATTATAAAACAAGAAATTACCTTTCACAGTACCTACTAAATAAATTTAATTTTTTTAGTTTTTTTCAATAAAAAATTTTGATTATAATAGGTGCTCATTTGTATTAATTTAAGAATTGTTAGTATGTCTTTATTTGCGTTAATAATTTAATAAACACGTAGAATAAATAAAGTATGTACGAATTAGTTCATAATAAAAACATTTTATTGACTGAGGGAAACAACAAATTGAGTAAAATTATTGTCCATATTTCAATTAATGTGAAAAAATTAAATTTTTAGGAACTTTATATTAAAAATTACAAAATTTTATTGAAAATTGTTCTTATGTTTAAAAGTATTTACGGTAATCTGTTATGGCAAAACGAAATTAATTTCATTTTTTGCTTGTCTATCAAAAGAATTTTTTTTTTCTCAAACCTTTGTTTTGTCAATTGATAAAACATAATTAAACGACAATTATCTGTATTTCGTGTATGTATATAATATTATATTGATGGTCGTATTTTAATTTTATGTAAATAATTATTATTTTAGAAATATGTGACTATGAGCGTTAAAAAGTTGCTCACGAATATTTAAATTTGTGTAGAAAATATACATATGTTTGTATTTATTCATATTTTAGTTAGGGGAAAGTCTATAGGGTAAATGATAATTATCTAAATCTAGCCAGCTTGAAATCATAAATTCAAATTATTAGTGTGAAATTGGTATTTAGATTGAAAGATAAAATTATACGAATTATCTAGCCATTTTTAATATCACCCTCTGCTAATGTATTTCATATAGGAAAGTCATGTAAAATATCTACTTACTTATGTACATTTGATTAATATATTGTGTTATCTACAATATCGTTTTTATGTTAAAGGAACTCAGTGAATGATTAATAAATCTTATGGTACTTTAATAGAAATATGACTATTAAATTAAAGTATATCTAATTAACAATAAATTGCAAATTTTAAGGAATTTCTAGAAATTAATTCAAAAATTTAATAATTTCTTAATGAAACTGTTAATACAACCAATATGTATTAACGTCAATTGGAATGTCAACATACTTAGACATTAAAATTTGCATGTAAAATTTTTTTTTTAAAAAATATTGTGTGCTATTTTACGCGATTAAGTCGATAAACATAATAATGTGTAAATACTTCGGTCATATAAAAACCTTGTTTGAATAACGATAAAAGCTTTATTTTTAATATCTTTTATCATATTAAGAGATTAATTATTTACATTAGTAAATTAACAATTATTAGACTAATATTCTTATCGTTTTTATAATTTTTTTTTAACCCAATAAAAAAGCTTTATTTTTCACTTGTTCTCTTACTCACAATTATTTTATTTTAATTTCTACAAATAATTTTTTCTACATATATAACAAAAATTGTTCAAATGTAGGTACTTGATCTGATTAAACCAAGAAATCTTGTTGGAAAATTATGTTTATCTGTTCTATGATTTAGAGATTAACTTTATGAACAATTAAAAATATTTATCGTTATAAGAGAAATTGACATCGAGCCTCAAATTTGACATCAAGCCAAATAAAATTTGCCTCTATCGAGTAAGATTGCATATATTTAGGAAAATTAATGCAATATTTAAAAAACAGAAAAAATTAAAGCCCATTCATACGTGCTTACATTTATAGGTTGTAAGTGCACGTATGCAGATATTTCCCCAATTTAAAGTTTCATAAAAAGTTTATTCTTTATTACAATTTCAAAAATAAAATTTAATAAAATAACAATGAAAATTTTATTTAAACTTTTTTACTATTTTGTTTAAAAATTACGTAAATTTTAATTGGAATATACCCATAAGTAAAACAAATACAAAATAATAGAAATAAAAGATTAAACGAAACAAACGAAATGAATGCCTAAAGCAAAAACTTTGTAAAATGTAAAAAAAAAAACGAAACATGGACTTGCAAAAATTTTATGCATACAGTGAAAATTCGATAATTTAATTATTCGATTATTGTTCTTCTTTTGCATAAATTTTGTACATTTCATCCATGGTTCATTAAAATGACGCTAATATCGCGTTATATTATCACATGGGAATGATTATTTTGATTACTTATAGGTTTTAGTATAAAAGTTTTGTGTCAGAAAAAAAATTTCATAAATAATTTTTTTCATGATTTGCTCATTATTTTAAGAGTACCTCTTAAAAAGTAATAACTTTTATGGCAGGTCGCCTCTTTCAGTAAATTTAAATTTTAAACATGAAGGAGCCACTCCAAAATAATTTTTCTAAAAATTTAAAAATACATCAAATAAGGTTGTAAAGCTATAATTTCGAGAACTTCTTTTTACAGAGCAAACTCACTAATTTTGACAATTGCAGCAATAACAGCAATAATTTTAAAAATATTGTAATTTACCAAAAAAAGAAATAAAAATGTACGTGCGCTTATAAACAAATATGGCAATGATATTTGCTACAAAAATAACCCTATAGGATTCAAAACCTCTCCCGGGCATGATCTTAATTAACTAAGGCAGTTAATTAGTAAAACAATAAGAAAATATTTTTCGGCAGTCCGTAATGTAAAAAATTTCACTGTAACTGTAAACTATAAAATATATAATAAAAATAAAAGATTAACAATTTCGAAAATCCTTTGTTTTCGTGGTGCATTTTGAATGTGATCAAACATTGTAGTTTTTTCTATAAAAGGCTTAATATTAGATCGTTTACTCTCATATTCAAGAACACATTTTCATTAAAGTATTTTTCCATATATTGAATAAGAACTTAAGTTTTACTTTAAAATTTTAAATATTTTATTTTGTATAGTAATTACTATTATAAAATTCTGTTTTTACAAAACTGCAAATTTGTTATATTATGTATATAAAGAAATCAGCCACTGGTATAAATCATGTTAAAAGTATTTGCAATGAATACAATTATAAAAACGAATTCAATATATTTTAAATATATACTTGAGTTATATTATATACTTACCTTTGTACATAATAATTTTTCACGTGCAATAATATATTCTTTAAAAAAAAAATGTGTTAAACTGCGTCCATGGTACACATGGGCAAGCGGGTATTAAAACAAAATTCACATTTTAAATTACGAGTATCGACAAAAAAATCCTTTCCTCTTCTGCATTAAAATCAAAAGTAAAAATAATAATAACAAAAGAAAAAACCACATTTTTTGCTACATACAAAATGTAAAGTATACATACAAACATTAAATTAAGTTTTCTTTTTCCTGGGTTTCTCTTTTCGTATAGGAAAAAAAGTTTTCATGTTTGTTTAAGAAAAGGTACATGGGGTTTTTTTTTCGCATTTATACATTGTAAATGTAAATACTAAAAATATGTATGTGTGTATGTACATATGTACAAATATATACGTACAAATATCTTTATTTACTTAATTTTTGTCAATTTTTTGCATATAAAAAATGAATTCGCATTGGAATCATTTATTTTAAAATAATAAGCAGAAAATGAAAAAAAAAAAAATAAACAAAGTACAATAAAGTAATACATAAGTTTGTACATATGTATATGATGTGAAGAGTTGAAGAAGAGGAGGAGAAAACGTAAATTCTAAAAATTCTTTTATGTTTTCTTATCCCTTTTTACTCTTATATTTCTTACATTTATTTCAATTCTACTTTGTATTTTAAGTGTTTATATCCAGATATATATATGTATATATATATATACATATATATGTATTTATATATTATATGTATATACATTACCTATTGAAATATTAAATATATTGATGTTTTTACTATAATACATGCATTTGTGTATAAATGAAATAATGCAGGCAAGGAAAACCAATGATTAACGAATCAATGATTTAAATAAGGAATCTGGTCTATAAGGAGAAATTTTTGCAGGTTAAACTATTAATGATTAATAAAAAAATTATCAAAAATATTACGTCAATGAGTATTTTTTCAGAAAATCTAATAATTCTGTATTGTAGTGTGTTCATTCTCAATAGTTTAACGAAATCGAGGTTTTCTAATTGTGGGGTTTTGGTGTTCGCATTGATTTCGCAGTAGATGTTTTATGATTTTACATCACATTATAATATAAGCTTTCTTGTTGTTTATATCGTTAATCACCTATTGGAATCTAAGTTTTAATTTATTAAATTTACGCGCCTAGGCACATGAACGTTTTCTGTAAGAAGGGCTTTCTTAAACAACTTAATACGGTAATTAACCGTTGTCATAATTGCTAATAAAATTGTTTTTACTTTATATTTTATATTCTTTATTATTATATTTATATAATTTCTCCATTTATAATTATATAATGGTCTCCATATTAAAATTTATAAAGACGGCAAATTAAAGTTTTTTTTAGAGAATTTTTCAAAAAAGTTTTAATACGGCAGTATTTACACAAAATTACAAATAAACAACACTAGAAAATAACTGTTATACATAAATATAATAATAAAATTACATTTGAGCAAATATGATATGAGAAATTATAAGATGATAATTAAATTAAATCGGAAACATTGAAATTCTAAAAAAAATTATATTATTTGAACTAAAAGTTTATAATATGTACACACATTTATAAATTAAAGTTCCACAAAATTTATTAATTTGATTATTTTCCAACTAAGTGTTTGTTTTATACAATGAAAAACAAAAACAATGTTGTTATTTCTCCCGGCATAACCCCCAACCCCTGATAAATAATAAAACATTGTATTGAATATTTATATATGTATATGCGTGAAAATGTTTTTGAAAATATTACAGGGTGTTCCATTGAGCAATCATAATAAAATTATTTGCAAAAAAAAGCAATTTCTTTTTTTTTTTGTTAGTTTAAAATTAATTTGTAAAATTTAAGCTAAAATTTGTAAAAGAAGTCTAAATTAGCAATTTGACATTTTAAAATTTCAAATTGAATTTTTAAAATGAAAAGAAATTTCCCGCAATTTGTCAATATCTCGGGAATCCGGCTAAAATAGGTAGATTAAATTACATATAGTGATTCTGGCATTTTAAATGTACAAACATACATACGTACATATGTATGTATTTTCATACTCAAATCTGCTACCAATTAAGCCTTGAATTATTCATTTTCATGGCACGTATAACTTGTAAATGTGCTATATATGTTTCTGTGTATATTCATCCTTTTGTATAACACATATAATATGCAAATAATTGTATAATTAAGGTACGTTATTCATATACCAATATATTTTAGTATATAAAATTTATTTCCTATATTGTATCTATATTATATATGTACATAATTATTATGTATGTAAGTATGTAAATGGCACCAGTTTTTTTATTCTTATAAATCACGTGCTTTTAAATTTTTTATTTATTTTCTATTCTGCTTTCAAATAAAGGGGAAAAAATGATTTTATTCTTTTTTTTTTTTTATTTGTATAAATTCAAATCAACTAATACATATTATTATCAAAGGTATTGGTATGGAACGTGAGTATATATGAGAGTGTTGAAATAATAATAATAATTCAAATAATCATAAGGTGTTTGTATGTATGTATAGAAGTATGAAAGTAATTTTACGTTTTCTTTCGTTATTTTTTTTTGCTTCTTTATTTTTCATATGTTTTAAATTTTTATTTTTATTTTTGGAGGTCTATTTTATATATGTACGTATGTACATACTTATGTACCAAGCACAAGGTAAAGGATTTATTATATTCTATATCGTTATATAATGTACCTGACATATGATACCGTAGAATTTTAAAATGCCCCAGTACGTACACACATACAATGTATGTTTAGGTGATAAACATGTATGTACTTATAATTGCTTTTGAAATTTGACATGCCTTTGAGCTAGATTATTGTTTCCAATAGGTTGTTTCCTAATTTTGTTTTTGTGTATTGTGCTTAATATACCCACTTATGTATATATGTAGGTAGATATATATCACCGGCCCAACAATCTTCATCAAATAATTTAATTCACGTGTCTTTTCTATTCTTGTATTTTATTTATTTAAATTTTTTTTTACTTATGCTTTCTGTTGTATTTTATATACGTATAACAATGTTTTTATATTGCTCCTCTATATTATTATATGTAGATTGTAGACATGTATTTGTACAACTGTATATAACAAAATAATATATTTTCTGTGTACAAAAATATAAATAACATTGAAATAAAAAATTCATAATAATTATAACAACCGAAAGGAAAAATATAGAAAAGAAAAAGAAAAATATGAGAAAATATAATAATAAAAAATATAAAATAAGAAAAGAGAAATAAGAAAAAAAAAGGAAAAAATTTTTAATTTTCTATTTTTGAGCCTCACGATTTTTTCTTTTAATATTTTATTTAGTTAGTCATTCATTAAGCTTACAATCTTCAGTATGTATAAAACGCGATCTCTCTTTAGTTTTATATTTTATATTGTTATATGACTATAAATAAGCATATAACTTTTGTCTATTTACATAAAACATAAAATTAAATAATTTAAAAAAAGGCGAACTATATTTTTTTAATTTTCTAATGAAAAAGATGTTTGATATTTTTTTTTCCTCTCTGTGTGACAATTTTTTGATGAAATTTTTTTCGCGTTAATTAAATTTGTTCTCTACATTGTTTATATAATAACATTTTATATTTTTACATTTTATAACGCACTTATATACCTTCTATTTAAATATAATTTGGGATAATTATATTTTTTTGTTATAATGGTTTAAAAAATTAAAATAAAAATATTTAAAATTGTATTTTTTATTCTCATATTGTAGGATATAATTTTTTATATTTAAAATTTAATTTCAAATATTAAAAAAGAAGACAAGAAAAAAAAAGTAAAATTGAAAAATTTAAGAAAAATTAAGAAAAAGAGAAAAAAAAATTGACGTAACAAAACCGTCCGTGAATAATTATTTCAGAAAAAAAAATAACATACATATAAAATAGAAGACGTATTTCTATTTACCCTACAAATATAACAATAAAAAGACATATACAAGTGATTTTATGTAAACAAGAAGAAGAAGAAGTAGAAGAATAAAATAAAAACAATTTTATGTAAAAATGGCAAGAATATAATAGAAGAAAATATTGTAAAATAATACCTTATAGAGTACAGTGTTTGCAAAATAATAATAAAAATAAAAATAACAGAATAATAAAAACAGAAAAAAAAATTAGTTAAAATATAAAAGTATTAAAGTGTTCTCTTTTCTTGTATTTTATTTATGTATATATGTAAATATATATTTACTTATATACATCCATACATACTTATATACGTGTATAATGTTAATAAGCATTGTCAACATAAGCAAAAAAAAAAATTGTCAACTTTAAAAGGATAACAACATAATAATGTTTTTCTTTTTGTTTCTATTTTGTGCTTAATATGTTAGTCCTTGATCTTAAAAAAAAAATATATTTTAATAACATTTTCTTCTTCTTAGTCCTTCATTCGTATATTTTATTTTAGTCAACTTTTTTTTTTCTTATTTATTTACGATAAGCGAAAATGTTCATATGAACATTGAAAAGTAGTTTCAAAATTTTTGATGATACTCGTATAAAACCAAACATTTTAAATAGCGTCAGCTTAATCTAATTGCAAATAACTCATTTAAAATTACTTTAGAGGAGACAATAAAAAAAAAAATTATTTTGTGTCAATATTTTATATAGATGCTAATACATTTTTTTTTTTAGTTAAATTTCATGTTTAAAAAGAATTTCAATTTGAATATAACCTTTACCTTTCATTAATATATTTACCTAGAAAAATTAGTTATACAAGAAATTAGAATGAGAATTAGAATTTGATATACTATTAATTTTAATTAATTATTTTTCTTTTATTTTTTTCTAATAAAACTCTGCTTATAACTTATGCAGTTTTTCTTCTTCTTATACAATCCTAAAAAAAAATTAATGCAAAAATTAGTTATTGGCTTATCAGTTTAAGCTGACAATAGACAAGTTAGTGGCAAGCAAATTGCTATATTACTAATTGCCATTTAGTTTTTCGGAATGTTGTATACAGTACATATTGGAATTAAAAATAACTAAATGTATAATGGTGTAGGTGTTTAACCAAGATCATTTTTGAAATATCTTTAAAATGACCACTTTCTAACACTAACCACTTTCTTGAGCAAACAATAAAATTGCCAAGTTGAAATACTTTATTGTATGTATTAGTAAAATATTGCCAATAAACCAATAACTTGCCTATATAAAAGCTCGATAAAAATAAAAGAATTATTACCAATTATCTAAATTATTAAAATATTTTTTGTTTTTTTTTTAATAGAAATAAAAAATACTCTAAATTAAAAAATTTAGAATCTTAAAATTTTATTAGAAGTGTTATAAGCACTAAATTTTCTATTTTTAGTTAAATTTTTTTTATATATTATTACATATTACGAAATATTTTGCAAATAAGCTGAAAATATGAACGAAAAAATTTAAATAATTACTCAAAAAAAAATTTTTTTTTTTTGAAAAAAAAAAAGAAAAAAAAAAAAACAAAATTATACCTAATTAATAAATAAATAAATAAAAAATAAAAATAATAACAATAATACGAAAAAACAACAAAAAATATTGCAGTGAAGTGCATGGTCAAATTTTTTACTCTTAAGTATATAAGTAGGAAAAAAGAAATGTAAAATTAAAATAAAATAATGTGGTATAATAGTAGTATATAATATACTGTTATACTACCTTCTATTCTTATAATATGTGCAATTTAGCAATTAGTATATAAAAGCATACGTACATATATACATTTCCTTATATATATAATAAAATAAATGTACATTTGTATTTATTTTCCTTCCATGTGCACGGTCAAAATATTAAAAATAATTTTTTTTTATAAATACTTTGAGTATATAAGAATATTTAAATTTATATACCTAAATTATATTTTAAATAAAAAATTTCCTTTTTATTTGTATTTGTAAAACATTTATTTTCCAAATTCTTATTGCATATAAATATTTTTTTTATTAAATAAAATGTGTGCATGTTTTATATAAATGTTAAAAAAATATATAAAATGTATAAAAAAGAAAAGTGTCATAATTATTGGTTAAGATAGTGAAACTTTCTCTAAAATTTATATTTGTATATAATATTGATTGTAAATACAATCTTATATGTAAATATATTGCAATATAAATAGAATTAAAAACAAAAAGGCGAGAAACTAAAAAGAATACAAATATAGAATATAAGGCAATTAAAATTAACATTAAATTTAAAAATTTATTGATATTGCAGAAAATTTCTATGTACATACGATTACATATGGATGTGTATGCATAAAGGCAAAGTTATAACAATTAAAATTCATATAACATTTAATGTATTGAATGTATTTATAAGCTTTACAAGTACATAATGTATAAATAAGAAAATTTTTGTTATTAGTAAGGGTGCTAATTTTTTTTTTATTATCTTTGTATAGATATATTGTCATTGTATATATTTAAAGTATTTGAGTTTTCATATTATACTTGTATATATGACAATCGATTCTCCCTAAATTACATTTTCAATAATTAAGTTGTAGTTGTGATATACCTAAAGTATTTTCATATTTTTGTTATACAATCTATAGAAGTGCACTAATATTTTAAACTTCAAATAAATTATAATTTATTTTCGAGAAATCTTTTTATTTATTTCTGAACTACTGTGAAATTCTGAAACTATAGAATTTATAATTTAAATCAATTTTTATTGTTTAAATTAATTTTAATGAAATTTGAATTGATTTCGTTATTTTTTGTTTTTATTTTTTTTATCATTAGATTATTTGTTTAGTTATTTAATGAATCAGCAAAAAATTTAAATATATTTTTAAAATTAAATCAATTTAATTATATTTCAATTAAATAATTTATAATTTGATTAAAAAATTCTTTTATATTAAGCTTATACAAAAATTGTAGTTGAAAAATCATTATAAATTTTGTAACGAGTTGATTTTGATCGTTTTTTAAGTTCTTCTATTAAACTAATTTTCGTTTGCAAATACTTATGTATTTGTATCCCGCAAACTTATTTAAATGAAATCTTTTAACTGAATTTAAAATTCTTTGTAAAATATATTTAAAAGTAATTAATTTCGTTATAAAAATTAGTTGACTTGAAATTCATGACATTATTGCATTTCAAAACATGGATAGCACCTACATACAGAGTTAATTAGTGTTGTATCAGTCTTGATAGTAAAAGCTTAGTGACTAATTAATCTAGTTTTTATTTTTAATAATTGAATTGCATTTGTCATGTAATTAAAATTTTCTTGCCAAATACAATTTTATAATAATTTTATTCGAATGCAACTATATTAAACAATAAATTATTTTATAAAATAAATTATTTTTTAATATTAAAATATAAAATAAATTTTGAGAAAATTAGTTAAAAATTATTTATTTAAATTTGAATGTTAAATAAAATTTTACAAATAATAAAGGTTTTCAATATAATAAATAAATAAAATATACTCATTTAGTTGAAAATATATTTTTCAAATGTAGAAATTTCAAATTTAAAATGATTTTAACTATGTGTACTTGTACATTATTAGTAATAGTCGAAAATAAACTAAGTTTTACTGTTATATAAATATATAAAAATTTATATTTTAATTAGGCATATATTGTAAAAACACATGAACCTATTCATTCGCATATACTTATATATGTAAATAAACAAAATACTTCTGCATTAACATAACACATAACATAACATTAACATTACTAAAATATGAAATTTCTTATTCGTTTTATATGATTTTATTTTATTTACATAAGTATATAAAAAAAGTAAAATGCCGTATTTATTCAATGTATAATATAAACAAAATGTGTATATGTATGTATGCATATAACTTGTATGTAAAATAAATAAAAAGTTGAAAAAAAAAATTAAAAATATATAAGCACATGTAGGTACATGAAATTATTTATATAATTACAGTGATTTACTAAAAATCATATGACATACACATAAAAAATATATTAAAATATATTGTATGAGCTCAAATGAGTGGTAAAAGTATTTACTTTAAAGAGTATTTAAATATAAATTTTACATACCTATGGTATAGCATATAACTGCCCTTTTTAAAAGAGCAATACAAAAAACTAAAAATAATATGTAACTATGTATATGTAATAAAAATAATTATGTAAGTAATTAATGCATTAGAGTTAGAAAAGAATAAAAAATGTGTATATATTTTTTTAAATTCATGCTTCATTTTAAAAGCTACCTACACGTTAAATTTCTTGAGTATTCAAAAACTTCATTTAAATTTTAATTTGTGTGCAATAATAATTTATAATTGGAGCAATTAGGAAATTTTGATTTTACTGTATAATAGTAGTAAAGTTTAAATGTTTTGATGAAATTAATATCTTTGATGGTTTAATTTGAAGATTCGTTTTCGATCCATTTAAAGTGATCATCGTTTAAAATGTGCTTCAACAAAAATGCTAAAACGTGTCCCTGAAACAAAATTTCTAATGAATGTTTATTACAAATATTATTAGTACAAATAATTTTATAATTCACTGTATATATTTTTTGTATACAAAATTATTGAAAATACCGCATTCTATATACAAACCAGGGGTAGCTTAATCGTAAAAAATAAGTAAAAAAATAAGAAAACCGAAACGAAAAGAAAACAAAAAATGAAAAAGAAAAATTTTTATGAAAATCAATAACAAAAATACATGTACTAAGTAAAAAGAAAAACAAAAACAAAAAATTCATCTCTAAGGAAAATAAAAAAAAAAATTGTTTTTCATTCAAGGTGTAAAACTTCCCTTTAAAACAGTGTCTTCCATTGAAAATATCAGTAAAAAAAAAGCCATTTATTAAATAATATAAAAATAAAATAATGACAATTGAAAAAAAAATTCCAAATATTGCTAACTATTTTAAAAGAAAAATAAAAAGTGCAAAAATATAACAAGAAACAAAATTATAACAGAATTCGTGAATTGTTCAAAAATATTCTTTATTGTGTTTTCTTTGTCAAAAAAAAAAAAAAATGTAAAAAAGGATAACAGTATGAAAGAATAAGAAAAGAAAGGATCATATTAATGTTGAAAATATAAAAGAAGAATAAAAAGAAAAAATTAAAAAATAAGTTCGAAAATCAAAGTGATTTTCTTATATTTACTTTATTTACTGTTATATTTTACTGTTATTTAACAAATTTTTTCTATTAAATTTTTTCTTCTTCTTTAATATTACTTGAATCGAGACAACAAATTATCAAAATGGCATTGAAAGGTATGACTTTGAGCGCAATATAACAAAAAAATAATAAGAAAAAAAAATTGATAAATAATATTTAAATTTATTTTTATAATATATAAGTAATTTATATATACTATTATTTATTTTTATTTCGCTAAAAATGTATATTGCACATTGATTCTCTTTTTTAAGTGATATTCTGATTGTTATATCGTAAGCCGAATCAATAATATATAGAAAAATTTTGTTCCTAATATCATATAATAATAAAATAAAATAAAATAATATCGTAAATATCGTAATTAAAATTTAAATAAAAAATTTTTATACAGAACAGTTAATATTATAAGAATTAGCAAATATTATATAGTTTTTACCGTAAAATTATCAGCTTATATCGTAATTATTTTTTTCTATAGCAGAGTTAAAATTGAATAGTTTGTTGTATGTTATATTGTTATTATACTGCCGTAAATATACATGACTGTGTTATACTGTAAAATTTTTACGGTAATAATTTAGTCTAAAACTTTTAGTAATTTTTTAGCCAATATAAAAATTAGTTGATTGGCTTACATATTTTTTTTTTGCTTTGTATAAGTATACAATTGTATACCCTTAGCAAAATTGAAGATATCAAAAAATATGATAAAATATTAAGAAAATAAACGATTCAAAATCTAATTGTACTTAAAAGACTGAGTCCATAAATAGAAAATTTGTTTGCATGCATTATATTATGCATATATCGTATAATTCAATTAATAAATTTTATATTTGTGTTTCAAATTTTATTCCAGGGAAATAAATTTTATTTTATGAGTTGGAACTAGAATTAAAAATTCCAATTATTAAATTATCCATAGAATTTTAAAATTTATAGTACGTAAGCAGCTACCTATAAGTTTCAAAATAATATTTATTGAAAAATATTTTGCAATATAATAGTATAACACATTAATATTAAAATAATTGGTATTTTTTTTCTATATTTTTTGGCACATGAACTTGAATTTTATATAAATATGTACACGTAATTAAATACTTTTATATTTTATAAATTTTGTATAATTATAACCTTAAAATAATTTGCCTTTTATTCTATAAATTGGCAATATAAATTCTATAAAATAAATATTTTCCTATTCTTTTTGTATAAATATATAAATTAAATACCGCATTATTATTATTATGGATGGGATATAATTTTTTTTTTATAAAATTTAGTTTCTCCTCAATTCATAAGGTTAAATACTTTTTTTTCTGGTTTCATTATCGATTTCAAAGTCAGTGATAAATTCACTCACTATATTTATAGTTGAATAAACGAAATAATAGAAATCTAAAGTTATGCAATCTTTTACAAAAAATGAAAATCTGCTTTTATTTTTTATATAAAAAAATAAATTAGTCCTTGAGGGTATGCAGATTTAAAAGTAAGAGACAACAAGAGTTTTTATAACTTAAAAAAAAATAAATAAAACGTGGAATTTTTTAACTTAATTTGATTGTATAATTTAAGTTGAATAATTGAGTATAATTTAGAAAAATTTTTTGTCTACTAGATTGTTTTAGAAAAATGAATAATTTTAGAAAAATTATCATTTTTGAAATTATTTTTATTTTTTCTTAATTGGGCCAAATAAATTTGATAGGAAATTCAACTAATTGGATTAAATGTTTTCTTTGAAATTATAATATTATTATTTTTATTTATTCATTTAATTTTGGAATATAAGGATTTTATATTAATATAAATAATTGAAATAAATACAAAAAGTAGAAGAATATTTATTATTTATTTTGTTCGTATTGCAATTCTTAAAAATTAGTTTTAATCTTATTGAATTGGCTCAATACTCTCTTATAATTTTATTAGATAGTATCTTATAATAGCAGGTCTCAAGTTTTCTAGTTGTTTATCTTACAATCTTATTAAAAAATGATACACATGATACAAACAATACAGAGAAGCTAATTTTTTCTGTGGAAATAAAATTTTTTAATTTTAACTATAAAATCGTCCTAATTATGAAAAATTTTAAAAAATGTATAGCTTGTTACTACGAATTTAGAATGCGAGATGTTAATATTTTATTGTTTAGTTAAATTCTAAGTCGGATTTTTATATAATGTTTGCTTGGCAATCGTAGTAAAAGCGACAAATAAAAGCTAAAAACTACAAATTAAGTGATCTTAGCTTGAAACCCCCACAAATGGTTTCTAATAATAACCAAATTCACAGGTCTCTTTATTTTGAATGCGATCAAGGTTTGGCAGGGTATCATTTTAAAAGTAATTTGATAAAATATCGCTTTGAATAAAATATCGCTATCGCTACATTGCAAGTTTGCGCAACGGAGTTACAAATGTGTTCATCATTCTCCCATATATAAGTTCAATTATAATTAAATCTTAGAAAATATTCAAGATGTTGTAATCAAATGCAACACAAACTTATGGTTGTTAATAAGGGTCTTATTTTATAAAGTAAGAGTATGATTTAAGCGAACCGTGTTTAAAATTAAGCAAATCCGAAACTAATTTTTCTCTTTTATCTTCTTTTAAATATAAAAATAAAACTAAACAAGCAATTTATTTTATTATACATAATAAACCACAAATTTTCAGGTAAATACTCGTAACAAGGATGCGCGAATTTTATAAATAAAGTGGTCAAAATTTTTTTTTTGCTTTTGTACTTCTGAAATAATAACTTTTTGTGTTACTCATTAATTTTAACAAAATTTAGAAGATTCTCTTATTAACTTGGAACAAAATTTATAATATATAAAAAAATTTCCATTTTAATATTATAATTAAAAAAATTTTATAGCGTTAAATTGTTGAATATTTAATCTTTTGTTTATATTAGTGTTATACTTAATCAAATGTTATCCTGTTCGCGTTTACATCTATTTTTAGAAAAATATTTTAACACGTAATTTTTGGTCTCAAACTTTTAATCTACACTATGTGCAGAATTTATATACTCGTACGTATACATATACATACGTAGAAACATTTATGTACAAACATACAAATTTAATAACATTCTTTTTTGTTTTTAAGACTCTTTTTTTTATGTGTATTTTTAGTTTACGATCTGTGATTATTATGTAGTATTGTTTTCATTATAGAAGCACATAAAAAGGTAAAATAAAAATTAAGGAAAATAAAATAAAAGCAAAGATGGAAAAATTTTTATTTAAAGGTCAATTCTTAAATCAAGTTAAAAATCCAAAAAGAAAAAAGTATAATAGAAAAAATATTGTACAATTTTACCGACTTATGTCGCAAACAGATCTTAAGATGTTATACAGTTAAATGTTTCTATAAAACATTATAGCGTTCCATTTCAGGGCATACTATATATTGATTAAATTCCCAACTATACGTTATGCTATACGAAGTATATAATTAAATTCCCAACTACCCCATGCTATACAAAGGTTTATGTATAGTAGAGAGGAGTACTTAAAGACATTTATTCCGGTAGATGGCTTCATATTTTATATAGAAAATCAAAATTATATTTATAAGGGCAGACATACAATTTTTAGATTTGTAACTGTTTGCTTACCTGTTTGTATTCCACAGGTTTCATTCAAGCACTATCAGTCAGCTTATATTAGTTAATGTACTCGATTTCAATTAATACAAAAGTTTACTGGCTTAGATGTGAGCGCAACAATTTTACAATCAAACAATAATTGCAAAATTAAAAATTGCATTTCTGCCTCAGCTCTTAACACATATATTTAAATTTAAGGGTTAAGTTTGAGCTACTACAACTATGATATAAAGAATTAATATAGTCCATCAAGTTGTACAACCAGTCAATTACTGAAACTATACTTCAGAAAAGCATTTTGTTCTAAACATAGCAAAAATTTAGAAAAATAAAATACTTAAACATCTAATCAGTTGCAATATATGTGTTGTGACGAGTTGCATACTAAGTAACTGTATAAATTAGGTATATAGACTAAGTAAACTAATCTCAAGAGATAAAAATAAAAATGATGAATGAAAATAATGATGCTGATTTAGAAAATGTTTTCCGTTTTTTTTTTAAAATTTTAAGAATTATAATTTTTGTATAATTATGGATTATGTTTGTATGCATGTATGTATTTAAGTATGTAAATAAGTACACAACAAATTGTACCACTTAAAAAAATTCAAATTTTTTTTTTTTGTTAAAAGGAAAATTATTATTGCATATTTTAAGGCAGTTTTCCTTATTTTACAAATATTACGAAAACCAAGTACGTATAACGGAATACTTACAAAAATTTAGGATTATTTCTAATAAAAATGAAAAATAATTTTTAAAGATGACCTTGATTAATATTGTTTGTATGTATGTGTGGGTATTTATGTAATTTTTTCAAAGAAACTGCCGATTTTTCAAAAGAATTTGTGAAAAACTTGAATTAATTTTAATATTAAAACAATATGGAATGAAAATTTTTTTTCTATAGAATAAAATTGATAAATTATTATGATTATAATTTGATTTATAAGAAGTTGTATTTATAAGTTAAACGAAATTTTTTGTATTATTAGCATAATAATTAAATTTTTTAAGAAATTTATAAAAAAAAAACTTTTATCAGTATTAGAAAATTACGTATTTGAATTGTTTTTAAATTGATAGAATAAAAGTACTGCGTATATGCAACCGTATTCCTTATTATATAAGGAAATTGTGAGAGTGAAATGTGTACATGGGTGTGAAATCTAAAATATTTCCATGGCTTTAAATCTCTTAAATTGTATAGAAAACCTTGGAACCAATATTTGTTTTAAAAAATAATATTTTTTGTTATCATATCATAATACAATAGTCTAGAAGTATGAAACATAAACCTACAAGTATGTATATATATTTATATCTGCGCAATAAGGCCAAATTACTTTCTAGAATTCTTTTGTATTAAAATCTTTAATTTTGCAAAATTTCGATTCTGATAGTCAAATTGAAATGCGAAATCGACTACAATTTCAAAAATTTGATTAAGTTTTGA